TTGATTGCATCATATAATAATTGCTGTTAATAGTGTTCATCGTCTGTTTGATTACATCATTAATTGAATTTTACCATACATTTCTGCCATATGTACATCAATTTGACATAGTCACCACTGACAAGCTACTACTAAATATATTGTAGAAACTTAATTTTCTGTAAAGCTGCTTTGCAATGATTTGTATCATGAAAAGCGCTGTACAAATAAACTTGAATTGAACTGAACTGAACCTCATAGACATTACACACACAGATTGACCCAAAATGCATTTGACATTCTGATCTTTCGCTGACTGAAGAACTAGCTCACAACATAATTCAAAAGCATATAAATGGGCCTGTAAGAATAATGAATCGAAACAAGACAGAAGTGTTTGGCTTCTGAGTTACTCACACATTGCATATATACAGTGATGAATCCGCTTCAAATGAAAGATGAAAGTGCTGTCAAATGATTAATCGCATCCAAAATAAAAGGGTTTATTTACATAATATATGTGTGTGTGTACTGTGTATATTTATTATGTAAATACACAAACATACTGTCACAGTCATGGACTTCTTTTGTTGTGTTTTCATTTAGTTTCTGTCGTCCTTTGATTAGTTCATTCAGTTCACCTGTGTTTGATTAGTTATCATCCTCACCTGTCTGTCCCTCGTTATCTCACCCTACTTAAGTTCCCCTTTCAGTTCAGTTAGCTGCCGGTTATTAGTTGTGTATGCTGCTTGTGTTACCTTGTGTTTTGTATGAATCTCCATCATTTTGGATTACTATTAAATGTTATTTGGATTACCTTCGTCTTTGTGTGCCTTCCTTCAACAACAGCGTGACACACACATGTATATATTTAAAAAATATTTACATGTATATATTTATTTATATTAATATATAATTTTTTATTATATAGAAATATTAATAATTTATATAAACAAAACATATTTTTCTTAAATATATACATGCATGTTTGTGTGTTTACATAATAAATGTACACACACATATATTATGTAAATAAACACTTTTATTTTGGATGCGATTAATCGTTTGACAGCACTAATATACACAGACAGACGACTCCCACTCACCCACAAAAAACAAACAAACAAAACATTGGTTCTGTACCACTCACGTTAATTACATATTTGGATTCAAAAGTGTGAATTTTGCAGCACTGATAATATTTTACGCACAAATATCGTCAAATTTAATTATGAATGGTAAAATGTTGTCTTCTTTTTTTAAGTGAATTCACATTTCTGAGTGGATGCACTTCTGGCACAACACTAACAACTAGAGGACACAACCTATTCCAGTACCTGGTAACATTTTACTGTAAGACAAGCTGTTGCGCCATCTTGTGGATATCAGACGACACATTTTTTTTAAGGGTTTCAAGTGTAGTGCTGAAACCCTGTTGTAATTGTTAGAATGGACAAGGATAAGTCATAGAGACTCACACCGTCTACAACTTCACCAAGGCTCGCCCCAATCGGCCTGACGGGGGAGCTACAGCGATCAAAAGTATGAAATCGCTCATAACTCCTAAACTGTTAGTTGCAGGCGCAAGTGTCTTATGTCTTTGGAATCCTTGACTCACGATGGACAAAACACATGCCTCGGATTCGATCGTCACCCTGGCGAAATTTCAGGAATTTTGGAAAACCTACTTTTGCGAACTAGGTTTTTCGCCTGCTCGAAACCAAACCAGTGTAGAAAGATTCTCTGGAGAGTAAATATCAATAATTATCAAAATAAAAAAGTTGAACTTTCGACTCACCATCGCAAAGGGACGCCAAAACGTTCGTAAGGAGCAGGGCCACCTTTACTAAAACGGCTTTAACTTTTGAATGGAATGAGATATCTTCGCCAAACTTGGGTAAAAACTGGCAGCACAATAGTAATAAAGCATAAAAATGATATTTCCTTGGTAAATTCCCTGAAATTGCAATTATAACCACTACATGGCAGCAGAGGACCACTAACGGGCTCTATCAACTCCCCAATATAGTACTTTTCACAGGTTTTGCTTTTAGATTTGCATTTAGAAATTATAAAACCATTTTTATTCGATTCCAAGTTTACCACTTTATTTATACAGCCATATTTTTTTCAATTATGCCAGATTATGATTACAGTGAAACCTGAAAAATACATATAAAGAGAAGACTTTCAGTAAGCATTTTGTTACCTGTCATTTATTTTAAATATATATATCCACAACAAAATGTGTGTGTGTGTGTGTGTGTGAACATGTTTAATGAGTATTAATATTATACTTCAACCATTTCATTTATGTGAGTTTTAAATACATAATGTAATACAAAATAAACAATGTAGGCTATGTACTTTACATTACAAATGCCAAAGGCGCCGAAGGCCTGGTAATTGCTGTTGTTACACTTACAGGACGATCAAATCCTTAATATTGACCAAATGTTTATTCCAAATAGCCACTTAATCATTCATTTTTGGTCTTTGCAATAGAAATGCTACAGCCTCTATAATTTCTTCAACAAAAACATGTGGACATTACAACCCTTACAAAAATTAACCATGGTTTTATCATTGCTTAATTTTCTTTTGTCTGATTTCTGAATGCTTCAGACAATAAAATCAATCAATTTGAGGGAGGGGGCACAACAATAGGCCTAGAATTCTGCTTAGGGCACCCATTTGGCCAGCAGCGGCCCTGAGTGTGTGTGAGCGCATTCTCTATCATGGCCTAGACCCTGACAGCATAGAAGTCAGCTAGACACAGTTCATGTCTCATATATCTATTCCCACTGAAGAGAATCGACACAGGAGCACAGAGCACACCAACTTCCAGCAAAGATTTCTAAAATACAGCTTGTAAATGCTCATTTGTAATACTATTTTCATTTTGCGTGCAGATGTGTCTTATTTTTGGACAATTCTCATCAGGCTCAATGAATTTCCACAGCTTTTCCAACTGTACTGATAAGACTTTTACCTGGCCAAAATATATATATATATTTTTTGTTAACGTTATGTTGCAACCATATGCTAAAACGCTTTCACTTATTTAGTCACAGAAATCTATATTCCATACCCCATAATGAGAAAGCAAAAAAAAAGTTTTTTTTTTAAATTAAAATTTGCAACTTAAACAAATCAACAATAAACTTCAATAAACTGCAGCAATGAATAAATTCATAACCACATTTACATTCACAAAATGCGATTCACAAATGCAAAACACTATTCACATAAGTGTGCACACAAAGGTTTGAATGTTTTACATGCTGAATGGATTTGAGTGTGTGTATTTTGAGACGTTCCTGGCAGGTCTGTTTCGTCTATAGTTGTGTCCCAATTCAGAGGCTGCATTTGAGGACCGTTCAGTTAAAACTCTAATACTCTCACATTGGTTTCCTGTTAAAGTTTAGAAGAGATGTCAACAACACACACTGTGCTCAGATCTTCCTCCTTTGCTAGAGATTGTGGTGCTCTCACATGTGTTTAGAAGTGATCTCAACAACTTTACAAAGTGTGCACCAAGTCAAATGTCTCAGTATTGAACTCAAACTTTCCTAATACTATACATTACAAATCAAAGTAGTCAAGAATTGTTAGTCAGTTTTGATAAAGGCATCTGGTACACAATTATTTCCAAGAACAAATAATGTGCCCTAAATGCACATAAACTGCACAGCTCTATTCTATTATTGTAAGGAAGTCATGACTTATATTTACATGCATGCAAAATGGGTTTTACAAGACAAACTTTTCAGTGTTAAACAAACAAGAGGAGAAAATGGTTTACACAAGTGTTACATTTGTTAAAGGAAAACATTTATCTTACACGTCAAACACTTATTTAGTGAAAAACCCCAATGTAACTTAAAGACAGACCAACCTCTGAGCAATGAAACATTTTTATAATGGAGTTTTGGAAGAGGTTACAGCGAGACAGTAAAGAGATCTCCCATGTTTCTCACACTACATTCTCATTTTGGACTCTTGTCTCTCAGAATTTCCTCATGTCTCAACTGTATCTATACTTGTATTTCTCCTAAGAAATTTTAGCACAAACATCGTTGAAACTAAAATGAGAGATACATGAGAATCACAACTAAGTTTCATGAGTTTAGGAAAAAAAACAACCGCTAGGCTCTCTATCTGAGTGCCAATTTTCACAACTTTTGGCCAAAGAGTATGGATTGCCATAGACTTCCATTCAAGAATAATAATAATAAGAAGTAGAATATAGATGGGAAAAAGCAACAGTTCGGGGCCAAAGCACTGCAAGCCCATCAAATACAGCTCGTGACTGCATGTTTAACTTGCATTTAATTTACCTCCAAAATGTGGGCCTTCATAATGTAAATTTCTTCTGTAACACAGAGGAGGAGTCTGAGAATCTGACAGATATAAGAGTGTTTGTGTCAGACTGAAGAACACAAACGGTGAGTTACTGCTTTATTCACAATTTACCTCAGAATATTCAGACATTAATACAACTTTCAGAAAAAAAAATATATATTAAAATAGACAATATAAAAATGTTTATATTATTTTCGTCTAGATAAAACAGATCTCTGCTGTGATCTTCTTAAGAATTATAAACTACAATTTCATGTCTATCCTTTTCACGTATTGTTGAGCTGGTTAATTTTGGTTGCTGTTAATATGGCATTATAGTAATGCAATACTTTTTAGAGAGAATAATTTCTACAGTAATCTAAATACACTGTTGTAGATGTCAGTAGTAGCCAGTAATTAATTACTTTCTTAAAATAATTTACCCAACACTGTTTATTCTCAGGAAAAGTCATTTCTTTAGAGGAATTGTTCTCAGTGATGCTCTTCCTCTCTGCAGGCGACTCTTTATCTGAGCATGATGGACAGAAGTTCACAACCTTAGACGAAGACCAAGACAACAATCAAAATAACTGTGCCAAACTTCATCTCGGGGCATTTTGGTACAAAAACTGTATTGATGTGAAAACAAACCCCAACGGTGTGTATATATGGGGAGAAGAAGACACCAATATCGGTATAGGGAATGTTTGGCCAACGTGGACGAATCGCAATGTTGGTATGAAATCCATCAGAATGAAGATCAAACCCGTGTCATAGAAACATTGCAGTGTTTAGAAACTGCTTCTTCCTTTTGATTTAATTACTTTTCACATAATGTGTTACACTGATACATATAATTATCATATGGCTGTGAAACATTTTCTACTTGAAAAGAATGCTCAAGACTCTAGATGGGACACTATTCCAGACATTCAGTGTAACTGAGGTTTGAATGTCCTTTGACTGAAGAACTTCTAGCACTGAACTGTGCAAGAGACATGTTTAGCTCTACTACATTGGTGTTCCTTCATAATTGTCAATTCATATATTTCATGTTACAGTTAATCATGATCCACTCTTTTCATGTGCATTTTATTCCCAAAGTATTCAGAAAACATTAATAAAACTTACACGGCAACTGTAACAACTGTCTCGTTTTGAATATTTTAATTCTGCCATAACACCAGAACAATAACAACAACGTTTAACAATGCATAACAAGGCTTACGCCCAGGGCGTAGCCAGAACTTTTTTTTTCCAAGATCCAGTGATTTCTTTGGTGTGTCCAAAAAATTAATACAAATAAATAAATAAAAAATAAGAAAGAAAAATTCCTGCTTAAAATCTAGAGAAAACCATTTCAATCATGACAACTCTCGGAACATTTTAGCATGGTGATGGATATGACAATGTAAATGTATTTGGTCTTGGCGGAACAGATCTGCTACGCTGCTGCTGAATTGCTGCTGCTGTTGGTTATTGCTGTAGTTGTAGATTATTACCATAGAACGTATTCATAATCTTCAATATTTAATTTATGTTTAAATAAATCCAAGTTTTTTTTTTATGACAGCCACCTTTTACATTTTTATATTTCAAAAAAACGAATTGGAGTAGAAATAGAGTTATGCAATTGTAAAGTTATTATCATAACTTTATTATTATTAAAACTTCACTCAGTGTAATTTAAGTGTTTGTATACAAACCAGGCATGTATATTGTACATTATTCGTTGAAATTATTTTTCTTTGAGAAAATGTGCAATTTACTGTACCTGATATATATCCAAAATAATTGATATTGAATTGAAATTGAATCAAATTGCAAGCTTGCGAATCAAACTGTGCAATTTGTGTCAAAACCCAGCCCTACTTAATATGGTGTGGTATCCATGTGAATAATGATTCTTTAACATAATTGATTAATATTAAATCATAATACACTGGGTTACACTTTAACTTCTTAAACTTAAGAAAACACACAAAAATTAAACTATACATCTTTACTAGGCAAGTTGAATGATCTAGTGAGAAAGTTGCATGAAATGAAATGATCAACTGGATGTACCTCTCCTAAACCGTGACTTGATCTGTGGTCTCGTGCGGATGTTTTAACATCCTGGTACGTAGTGATGTGTTGTTCAATTTGAACAAATCTTTAATATGACTCTGGAACATCAGGTTTTTTTTTTTTTATGCTCAAAAACAGTATATAAACAGTAATACAAATATCAACAAATAAAAATGATGTTGACAATGACAACAAAATAAAAAATAAAAATAAAAAAGGGTGTGTTTAATACATTACAAACTGGGGAAAAAACTATTTGAGAATTTTGTCATTAAAGATAGGAAAATAGTTACAAACAGATACAATTTTTAAACTATTTTGTTCTTAGACAATTGGATCAATGAAAGGTATTGCTCACATTCTTTCATGAAAACAAAAAAGAGAGGTCTGGAGTTTGAATATTTTGCATCTGTCAATGTGGAAATTTGCAAGCAGCAAAATCAGATTCACTACATAAAACTGTTATTTATTAGACTGTTCATACTCTGACCAGACTGACCAGCATCACGTCCTTCCAAAACAGGACAGACTCATACATTTTACTCCTAATGAAACCTAACACATCTTTCCAAAATGTCTTTGTAAATGAACATTTACAAAAGAGATGAAAAACAGTTTCAATAGAGTCATCACAAAAAGAGCAACTGGAGGATATATCACTTTTGAATTGCTTCATGTAGTCTGGGGAACATCGAGTCGTCTCAGTGAGGGATTCGTTCATTTTGTGTTGACCGCGCATGCGCAACATTCTTTTGGTTCTTTACAGGAAACAGAAATGATTAGTTCACTTTTCGAGTCTAAAGCCGTGTCCCAAATGGCACACTTCATGTGCACTTGCGGTCTTGCAGACTTACAATGGCCGCCACATGCACGTGTCCGTTAAGTGCTCTAGATCGTAGGGTGTGTCCCATTCATCATTTTACCTTTGCAGCCGCTATGCGCCCTCGATGCACACTGAGGTGAGCTCTGCGGCAGACTTCTACCCGACAGTAAAAGCGCCATTACATCATGAAAGTGTGGACTCAAAGGAAGACCGTGAGGTTTTAGGTTGCAATTTGGGATTTTTAGAAGAGCGGAGCGTAAAAGGAACAAATTTCAGGTTTCTTTTAAAATACTGAGAGACTCACTGTCTCAATATCAGAAAGAGGAAAAAGCAGCCAAATCAAGGTATTTTACTGAAATTATTAATAAAAACTGTCATAAACCGAAAAATATTTTTAACATTATTAATGCCACTATCAACCCTCCTTTTTGTTCTCTCCCTGATGTGTCTTCATCTATGTGTGAGGTTTTTCTCAAGTTTTTTGTTAATAAGATAAATGTTTTAAGATTGGCAATTAGTCTCTTTTTCTCTGATCCATCAATTCCTCCTAGCGCCTGGTAAGCTGTGCGGGGGCATAGGCTGGCAGAATGGGAAAAAGATCCACAAACAGAGCAAGAAATAGCTTTATGTCCCGTAAAGTGTCTGGTGATCAATTCGAGATCCACGACAGACCAGTCTAATCTGAGGTTGAAACGCTGAAGGTATAAAGCTGCCTTAGCTGAAAAATTCTTATGGTATTCGTAAAATAGGGAGCCTCCGTAATTAAGTGCCAGGTCTGATATGATCGCTGAATAGGTATCGAGTTCAATCCTCCGCTTAGGAAAAACCTCACATAGAGTGTCTCTGTACACGCCGAAAGCCACATTAAACTCCGCTAGAGACAAACTTTTAGAAAGTCTTGGGTCACATTCTTTGAGAACGACCGAGACATCACCACAGTCAACCACGCGTTTATCTAAGACTCCTGAAGAACACAGTAAAATTTTTATTAGGTTGATGTCGTTACCTGCGATTATTTTCTTCCTCAAACTTTGAGGAATACCTGCTGCCGGCGGGATGAAAGGAGCTCCCGAAGATGT